TCCTTGGAAGAAAAGTTATGACCAACCCAGACAGCATATTAAAAAGCAGAGACATTACTTTGCCAACAAAGGCCCATCAAGTCAAGGCTATGGTTTTTCCAGTGGTCACGTGTGGATGTGAGAGTTGGACCATAAAAAAAGCTGAGCGCTGAAGAATTGATGCTGTTGAACTGTGGTGTTGGAGAAGACTCTTGAGAGCCCCTTGGACTGCAAGGAGATCCACCCAGCCCATCCTAAATGAAATCACTCCTGAATATTCATGGGAAGGACTGATGTTGAAGCTGAAACTCCAATCCTTTGGCCACCTGATGGGAAGAATGGACTCATCAGAAAAGACCCTGATGCTGGGAAAGATTGAGGGCAGGAGGAGAAGGGGAGGACAGAGGATGAGACGGTTGGATGGCATCACCGACTCAATGGACATGAGTCTGAGCAAGCTCTGGGGAGTTGGTGATGAACAGGGAGGCCTGGCATGCTGGGGTCCATGGGGGTGCAAAGAGTCAGACACAACTGAGTGATTGAACGGAACTGAACTGAGAATGTCATAGAGTCGGACTTACACAGGCCGTAGACTTTTCAGACTGGCTTCTTTCACTCGCTGATGTGCATCTAAAGTTCCTCCATGTCCTTTCGTGGCTGGATAACTCATTTCTTTTCATTGCAGAATAATATTCTACCGTATGGATGTGTTCCAGTTTGCTTATCTGTCCACCTACCAGCCAACATCGTGGCTGCCTTTGGCGCCGGGTGACTAAAGCCGCTAGACATCACTGTGCGGGTTTTTCTGCAGACACAAGTTTTCAACTTAGTTGGGTAAAAACCCTGGAGCGTAGCTGTATGTTTCTGCTTTATAAGAAACCGACAAACTGCCTTCCGAAGTGGTCTTAAGTTTCACATTCCCACCAGCAAGGCTTTCAGAGTTCCTGTTCATCTGCCTCCTGTTAGCATTTGATTTTTTCCTTTTCTTTTTTTTTTTGCCCTGCTTGCATTATCTCGGTCCCCAGACCTGGAACAGAACTGGGGGGGGGGGGGGGCTCTGAAGTGACAGTGCTGGGTCCTAACCACTGGCCCCCCAGGGAGTTCTCGGTACTTTGTCTCAATGTGATATTTCCCTGTGATATATAATATTCCACATCTTTTCATGTGCTTGTTTGACACCTGTTTATCCTCTTTGGGGAGATTATGTTTCCAGACCTTTTGCCCATTTTTATTTTGGATTTTTGTCTTGCTGTCCAGTTTTGAGATTTTTTTTTTTTTTTTTGCCTATTTTGCGTTCAGTCCTTTATCAGAGACGGATTTTTGCAAATATGATCTTCCAGTCTGTGACTTGTGTTTCCATCCTCTTAACAGTCTCCTTTGTAGAACGTTAAGTTTTTCATTTTAATAAGTCCAGCTCATCAACTTTTTTTTTAAACATGGATCGTGTTATTGATATTTTATCTGAAAACTCATCGCTAAACCCAAAGCCATCTACATTTTTCTCCTGTGTTTTCTTCTAGGGGTTCTGTGCTTTTGCCTTTTGCATTTAAGGCCAGTGATGCATTTTAAGTTAGTTGCTGTGAAAAGCCTCAGGCTTGGGCTAGATTAATGGTTTTGTTTGTTTTGTGAATGGATGTCTGTTGTTCCAGCACCTTTTGTTGAGAAGGATATTCTTTCTCCATTGAGATACCTTTGCTCTTTTGTCAAAAATCAGTTGACTGTATTTGTGTGGGTTCCGGCTGCCCTTTTATTACAAATTTGGCTGCTCTTTAGGGGGAATATTGATAGCATTTGTTGCAAGCAGATTCTTGTATTCCAGCTCCTTCCATCAGCAACCAAAAATAATTGTTTGGGATACAGGTATTGTGCAGTGGGTAACTGTGGAAATCATTGCTGCTGAGGCCTCCACAGTAGCCTTTATACCTTTGTCAGAATGCACTAGCTCCTTTCCTCCTCGACTTTAATGTGCTTCTCTTTTTTCTTCCACCATTTGAAAAATCTGAAAGCCAGATTAAATATAACAGTCTAATTTACCACCTACCTACCACCCATCTAGCATTCAGAAAGTGGGATTTCAGTGTTATTATGGTAAATGTAGGGGGTGGCCTTTCCTATCTGGGAGTCTTACAAAGTCCCTGGGGGCTCCTAGGACTCTCTGATAAAGGTGCTCCAGTCTTTACTTCTAAGAAGACCCCTGGGATTGTTGGGAGCCTATCAAACAGGAACGAAGGACTCTAAGCTCCCTTTCATTGTTGGAAGCAAGTGAAAAGTCGCTCAGTCCTGTCCGACTGTTTGCGACCCCATGGACTATACAGTCCATGGAATTCTCCAGGCGAGAACACTGGAGTGGGTAGTCTTTCCCTTCCCTTTCTCCAGGGGACCTTTCCAGCCCAGGGATCGAACCCAGGTCTCCAGTATTGCAGCCGGATTCTTTACCAGCTGAGCCAGATCAGCTGCAAAAACCGGCCACGCTGAGGCGTAGGAGGGAGCGAGGATTTCCCCCACTTCCCCAAACTTTAAAAGTGATTGGTATCTGCCAAGCCATCAAAACATACAAAAGAAGCCTTTCTCCTCGTCCGGTTCGGTTCGGAATTTCCAAGCAGCTCCCGACGATCTGCTAGCGACGGCAAACCCGAGAGGGCCAGGTTTGGCTGCGCGGCTACTCGAGAGTGTGCGGTAGCCCAGGGCCGACGTCCCCGTAGAGCCGAGCGCGGTAATGATGTCAACTTGTTATTTACTTTCCAAATCTGAATGACTGAGCAAGGCGAAAGGAGAAATCAATCAACCGCAATGTGACCCTACAGGCGGAAAAAAACGCAGCGCTCCCACCAGCGGGCGGTGGGGGGAAGGGAAGCACGTGTAACCCGCAGAGTTGCATCAGGCGCGCTTGCCTGCCCGGGTTTTCTGTTGCATCGCCTTGGTTTTTTGTTTTTTTTTTTTTCCGATTGCATGAAGAGACCTCAGCCTCAGTCCTCACGAGCCCTGGGAGCCCGAGAGCCAGGCCGGGCAGGCTGGAGGCAAGGCCCCGCCACGTTCTTTTGTGTGTGTGTGTGTGTGTGTGTGTGTGTGTGTGTGTGTGTGTGTGTGGTGGGGGTGGGGAGAGGCTTGAATGGCAACCGGTAGAAAAGAAGGGCAAAATCTATTCTGCTGATTCACAATTATGGAGACCGTATAAGTGCTTTTTTTTTTTTTTTATTGGTGTGCTCGAATAATGGTGCAGTCACCGTCGTTTGAAATCATTGACGTTTTACAGCAATATTCGGCAACGTCATTTTGAGGCCGCCTTTTGGAATGGAGGATCAGCCCCTTAAAAAAAAAAAAAAAAATCACCTCGCCACCCCTCCCCACACGGTCAGGAACAACAAACGGCCCAGTGTCCCAGAAAGGAGCAAGCGAGGTTACAGTGCAAAATGCTGTGTCCTGGGCTCCTTAGGGCAAAAAAAAAAAAAAAAAAAAAAACCAAAAAAACTCGTTAGGCACCAAAGGGAGGGGCCGGCTTACTTGAAAATATTCGCCAAAACAGAATCCAAGGTGCTGCGGTGCGTGTGCAGCGCGCGCGTTTGTTTCAGCGAATTCAGGTCACGCGTGGTGGGCAGTTGTCCCCAACCCGGAGGGGGAGAAAGCAACCCGGGGCCTTGGGTTCACCGAGTCAGCTATTGCAACAGCAAGCAGCTTTGCAAATGTCCCAGGTTCTGCAGCCTGCGGCTGGAGGTGGGGGTGGGGACGGGTGAGAAGGCCTCGGGGTCCCGGTTCCACCACCACGCCCCTCCAAACCCCCACCTGGAGCCCCCACACCCCAGCTCCTGGCGTCCACCCCAGTGTGTCTTGAGTTTCTTTTTCCCCAAGCGCCTTCCCTGCTAGAGATTTTTGCAAAAGTGGAGGCTTCACTGGAGCCCCCATTTTTTGGGGGAAGGGGAAGAGACCGGGGTTGGGGGTGTCCTCTCGGCTGGCGACTTGGAGGGGACTGGCACCCTCAGGCAGGTTCGGGGAGGGGGGTTCATCTTTGAGCTGGCGGAGGGTGGCCCTGTCTCCCAGCACCCCTCCCCTCCCCCCGGAGACCACGGGGTGGCGACCCGGTTCCTGTCCCCTCCTGGATAATGGGTTTGGGACTGGGTGGGGGGTAGGCCGGAGTCTCCTGCTGCGCAACCCCCTCCCCATGGAGGCCACGGGGTTGGGACAAGGTTAGCAGAGAGGAGGGAAGAGGCCCGGGTTCCCCTCACCCACCCCAGGCGTGGCGGGGAGGGGGGAGTATAGGGGAGGAGGAAGTGAGGGACAGGGTAAGATTAGAGGGTCCCCCTCCGTGGGGGAGGGGCTGGATTGGGACCCGAGTCTCCCCCCACCCAGAGGCCGTGGGGGAGGGGCCCGGGCTCTCACCCCCGGCGCCGTGGGGGAAGGGCAGGCCTGGGTGTGTGTGTGGGGGGTGTCCCTATCCTCCTTGGGGGAGGGGCTGGCCTGGGACGCGGCCTCTTTGGGCGTGGGGGAGGGGACCCGGGCTTCCCTTGCCCGGCGGTGGGGGAGAGGGCAGGCTGGGGGCCGTGGGGGAGGGGGGACGGACTGGGACGCGGCCCCTTTGGTCGTGGGGGAGGGTGATGGGGAGGGGACCCGGGCTCCCCTTCCCCGGGCGGTGGGGGAGGGGGCAGGCCTGGGGCCTTGGGGGAGGGGCTGGCCTGGGACGCGGCCCCTTTGGGCGTGGGGGAGGGTGCAGGGGACCCGAGCTCCCCTCCCCGGGCGGTGGGGGAGGGGGCAGGCTGGGGGCCGTGGGGGAGGGCGAGCCTGGGACTAGGCCTCTTTGGGCGTGGGGGAGGGCGATGGGGGGGGGGGGCCCAGGTGGGGGAGGGTGCAGGGGCCCCGGGCGGTGGGGGAGGGCGCACACTGGGGGCCGTAGGGGGGGATAGGGGAGGGTGATGGGGGGCCCCGGACTCCCCTCCCCCGGCGGCGGGGGCGGGCGCAGGCTGGGGGCGGCGCCCGGGGCCGTCCTCCCGGCCGGGGTCGGCGTTCCGGCGGCCGCTCCCCACCGGAGGTCACTGGCCGCGCCGGTCCCTCCCGCGTCCCGCCCTCTCCCGCCGCCGCCGCCGTTTCCCCCCCACCCCCGCCCGCCCCGTCCTCCGCGCTCGGGAGCGAGGAGCCGCCCGCGCCCCCGCCCCGCCGCCGCCGCCGCCGCCGCAGCGCCCTCGCCGCCATTCGGCACCCGAAACTTTCCAGCGCCCGCGCGTCTCGGGGACTCGGCGGCGGCGGGGGGCGCGGGCGCGGGGCGGGGGCGGCCCGGGGGGGCGGCGCGCGGCGGCTCCGGGCGCCGGGCCCTCGGCGGCCGCGGCGCGGCCCGGGCTCGGCGGCGGCGGCGGCCGGCGGGCGCAGGCTCGGAGCGGCGGCGCCGGACACAAGTTGCGCGGCTCGGGGCGAGGTGAGTGCGCGCGCGGGGCTCGGCCCGGGCCGGGCGCGCTGCGGAAACTTCTCTCGCTCGTGCTTGTGGGGAGGCCCGGGCCCAGCTCATTCCCGCCCTCTGAGGGGTCAGGCCGGCCGGCCGGCCGCCCGGGGACCCCCGTCTCCGGTAGGGGGGCGGAGGTGCAGTGGAGAGGGGGTGCCCAGCTTCCCCAAGTGTCCCCCGGGGGCTGGGGCTGGGGTGCTGCGCGCGCTCCCTGCAGGCTGAACAATACCCCGATGGGGCCGCTCCCCCAAAGTGCCGGCACGTCGGGGGTTGGGGGGAGGCGGGCGGAGACTGGAGCGGGCGGGGGGGGAAGGGGAAGCTTCTTTTGTTTTGGGGAGGGGAGAGGTGACCGGTAAGTTTTGGCGAGGGGGGTGGGGGTGGGGAGCGCTCCATTGGTCTCCCTGGTGCTGCTTTTGTCTTCCGGGCCCGGGGCTGGCCGGGCGAACCTGCGCGGCCGCGGGGACCCCCCCTCATGGGGGAGGGGAGCCCCATTCATCGCCCCCCCCCCCTCGGGGGGCGCGGGCCGGGACCCCGGGGGACGCGCGGCGGCGGCGCGCGCAGGGCCGCTGAGTGGCGGGCGAGGCAGCGCGGGCCCGCGGCGCTTCAGTTTCTGCGGCGCAGAAACTGTCAGGAAGTGGGGAGCCCCTCCCCAACTTGCGCCCCCAGCCACCCACCCCGGCCCGAGCGAGGAAAACAGGGTGGGGACCACTTGGGTGGGTGGGTCGGGGGGCGTCCCTGGGCGATCTACAGAGCGCGCCCTGGGCGGGGGGGGGGGCGGCTGTAGACCTGTTGCGCCGGGTCTGGGGGGGGAGGGGTGCCCCGAGATCCGCGTGCCAGGCGGTTCTTCCTCCCCCCCCCCCCGCCACCCTCCCGAGGGGACCTCGCCCACGGCGGTGGGGGTGGCCGTTGCTCGGAATGGAGTGAGGCGCGCCATCGTGGGGGCCGGGGACTGTGACACTTGGGGGTCGCTAGAGGCCCCCCTCCCCCGCTTCCCCGGGCGCTGGGACTTCACGTGCGTGGCCCGCGCCCGGGATGGTTTTAAGCACGGCCTGGACTTCCTCCGAGTCCACTGCAAATTCCACGAAGTTAAAAAGTCCTAGGTGTGTTGTTGTTGTTGTTTATTTTTTCCCCTTGCAGTCGCCGATGTTGTAGAGCGGAGCCCCCAAAGAAATAGAAATCCGTTTCCCCTATTCCTTCTGCCGCGGTTTGGGCTCTCGCTAGGTTTTGGCACTTGTGGCTTGAGCTGCCTTGGATGTTTTTCTATCCAGACGCGCCGCCTGAGCCCCTGGGTTAACCTGGAAGGCGAGGGGCGGGACTCCAGCCTGGGGCGGGGGCGAGAGGCGGTGATGGCCGGGGAGGGTCCGGTTAAGTCCAGCCTGATCGGTGGCCTCGGGGGTAGCAGATGCTGGAAGATCTGGAAAGTTTAGCCATTCCTAGAAAAGACTGCGATCGGGTGGGGGTGGGGGAGATGTCGATTATGGAAACCATTGAGACTTGAAGACGCTTCTCATGTGAAAGGGATGTTCAGATATCTCAGATGTACTGCAGATTGCCTTGGACAACCACCCAGCTGGATGACGAATCCGGAAATGAAAGTTTGAAGTCCCATCCCTTGACCCACGTCTTAAAATGGTCTCTGAAGGATCATTCCATGTGAAGTTCCTTAAGTGAACACACACCTGTGGAACAGCCCGTGAAGACTCTTAAGGTGTTTTTTATTTGGTGCCGTGGGAAGCAGGGAGGTTGGCTCTGCTCTTATTCCAGGGCTTAGCCACTCCAGGTATCATCAGCTCCCCCCCTCCCCATCATTGAAATTTCACCCCTGGAGCCTGAGTCTCGTCCCTCCTGCAAGTTGGGGTCTTTTTAGTTAAAGTGCCTGCAGTCAATCCCCTTTGAACCAGAGGAGCGTCAGTGTTCTCATCCGTGCTGACTTCCTGAATGTACCTGGGTGGGAGGTTTGGAGCTTTCAGTGCTAGGTGGCCAAAGACGGGTATAGAACCCCTGAGTCTGGCTCTGTGGGGACGCATAAAACTGCTTTTGCTGGAAAAGCAACCTTTGTCCCTCATGTGGGCTGAACTAGTGAAACCAGCCCACCCTGCCGTTCTGCTCCGCCATTGACCTTGAAGTCCTGCCAGTTTTCCGAGTGTCATTTGCTGTATGTGTAAAACTAAAAAACGGGAACCGAGATCACGGTGCTCATTGGGTAGTGCAGGAGCAGAGAGGAGGAACTGTTACGTGTAAGTGTTTTTTGAAAACGTTGAGTTTGCCTGTAAATTTTCAGTTGCTCTGGTGCAGATAGATTCATCGTCCTTTGGTTACTCGAATGCCACGCACTGAGGGTTTTACAGGCAGTTAACGCCCTGGGTGCAGCAATTATTATTTCCATTCAGCTGCAGAAGACACTGACTTTGCTAATCTGTGGTGAAGGGAAGATTGTTTGATTCCGGAAACCCAGCTCCGAAGCATAGTGTTATTTTGTCTTCCTGTGTTGACATGGGTTGAATGTTCCCGTTTGGAGCCTGGCTTGTTAAATTACAGAGACACATGCTTTTTCTCCCTCACACAGAATCTTAACGTTGAATTGTCTCTCTCTATATAAACCTAGATTTCTCAACAAATCACCAAAGGTCAATCACAGTGGAAGCATTGTTTTGTCCATAGCTTAATTATCCGGTGTAGTAACCTCTACCCACCTGGGCATTTTTGGATTCCAGTTAATTAAAATTTATTTAATAGTGGTGGTGGTACTAAAATGCCCAGGTCTGTTGTTTCACTGCTCTGTCCATAATTCAGATACTCAATAGATGTGTAAACTGGGGGTTATACACACACTGCATCAGTGCAGAACTTGAAGAAAGTCCAATTTGGGAGTGGCGCTCTGCTCTTGGGCTTCCTTGGTGGCTCAATGGTAAAGAGTCTGCCTACAATTCAAGAGACTCAGGTTTGATCCGTGAGTCGGGAAGATCCCCTGGAGGAGGAAATGGCAACCCACTCCAGTACTCTTGCCTGGAGGATCCCATGGACAGAGGAGCCTGGTGGGCTACAGTTCACGGGGTTGCAAAGAGCCGGACACGACTGAAGTAAATTAACACACACACACACTCTAGTTACTACAAGTAAGGATCCTTAAAGAAACTAAAGTCGCTCAGTTGTGTCCAACTCTTAGCGGCCCCATGGACTGTAGCCCACCAGGCCCCTCAGTCTATTGGATCCTCCAGGCAAGAGTACTGGAGTGGGTTGCCATTTAATCCTCTAGAGGATCTTCCCAACCCAGGGATCGAACCCTGGTCTCCCACATTGCAGGCAGATGCTTTACCGTCTGAGCCCCCAGGAAAGCAAAAAAGAAAACAGTGAAGAGTTAGTCTGATCCTCGTGGGAGGCTGAGAAAGGCTCTAAGAGTTTTAGACAGTTTACTGGTAGACCTTTTGAAACAAAACAAAACCCCTTTCAGCTAGCGCATCACCTGGGAAAATGATTTCAGTGAGATTGACAGCTGCGGTTTTAAGATTGAGGCGGTGTGGATCAATCCTGAATTTAAAAAACCAGGACTACCAAGCTGGAGTCTTCGTGAGGATTCAACTTTGGGGAAAGGGCGTGCCTCAGTTTCCCTTTCTGAAAAACCCTGCGAAGCCAGTCCCCACGTTGCCTGCCCGAGTGTGTTGTGGCCAGCATCCCTTGCGCTGTCAAGGTGTTGCCAACAGTGTGGCCCCATGTAGCTGACTGAGAGGCCGTATCTGATACGCCCCCTTTCCCTGCCAAGCCAAGTTTATGTCCTAAGTTTTACTGTCTTGAGGGCAAAATATTCTGTTATCAAGAAGGCTGACAAGGAATCCTCCCTACAGATGAGACTTCATAACGGTCAACGTGTTTTTAACAAGTGGCTGAACGGTGGTTATTTTTAATTCCTTAGTTGATGTGTTCTTTGCATAATCTTGCGTTGTTTTTTTTAATAGCCACGGATTAGAAATTTTTTTTTGTAAAATCAGGAGGGAGGGGTGAAAACCCAATTTTGCTTCTGGGAGAGAGGTGACTTCACAGATGGCCCCATTGTGCTATTTGACTTTAGTCTTGCTTTCATCTCAAGAGCTGTCGGCCTTTGAGACACCCGGGATAGTCATGATGATTTCGCTTTCAGAGTCGCAAAACGGGTCCCAGCAGGGGGGAAGCCAGACCCAGAGATGGCATCTTACCTAGGTCCTGAGCATCGGGAATTCACAGTCTCCCTCAGTGACCTGTTGGGAAGGAGGGCTCCTCGCCCCAACCCTGGGGATGCCCCCTTGCCCAGCTCTCATCCAGGAGCATCGCCAGGCCTGACCGGGGCCAGGGGACCAGCCCGATCGCCCTGTCCACTGAAGTGAGACCCCCAGATGTGGTGTCCCCACACCTCGCAGTTGCCTCCTGCTTTTCGTTTAGAAAAGTACGCGACCTGCAGTAATAAGCTGTTCCTCTTTCAGCACCGAGACACTTAAAAAATAGCATTCAATCAGGAGGCAAGAGTCAAGTCGTTTTGTAAACATGTTCAAGTTGGAAAGATGATAAGCCTTTTTTTTTCCATAACTATTTTTAGTGTGAAGGAAGTAACTGGATACCAGTAGTCCCCTCGGGGCTGGCCCCCTCACCCCATCACTCCTTCCCATGAGGCTGGACCAAACGGATGGCCCTGGCCACACCACCAGCCAAACCAAAAGAAAAGCTGGATGTGGGAAGGGACAGACGGAGTTGACGTGTTTTTTTAAAGGGAAAGGGAGAAAGTGAGTTTAAAACCTCGGGGAGAAAAAAAAATGCAGGCAGTCACGAATGTGCTCCTCAGAAACTTGACCTCAGGTGGTTGTAAGCTCGCAGAGGGGGTGGCCTTCTGCAAGCCCTCTTGTGTGTGATCACCGCCATCAGGTATTTCCTGGGAATCCTCTGCCAGATGGAAGGATGCAGGTGTGAACTGGAAGCCATTGAAAAAAATTAACTTGGAGCAAACTTACACTTGGAAACAGAGGGGAGATTATTTCCGTCTTACGCCGGAAGTTGGGTACCACTTCCATTGCTCTTGGTTTGCTCTTGGTGGGTGGAAAGGAGCCATGAAGCTTTGGCTTGCGGGTTGAAGACAGAGAACTTGGAAACAGACGGGAGACTATTTCCATCTTTCGCAGAAAGTTGGGTACCATTTCCACGGCTCAGGTTTGCTCTTGGTAGGTGGAAAGGATCCCTGAAGCTCTGGCTCGCAGGTTGAAGAGAAACAGAAGCCTTAGCAGGTGAAGGCAGAGGACATGTTTGCATATGGAAGCAGCGTCTTCAGCGTTCGGACGCGGGAAGCTCGTCGTCAACTCGTGGTCCTTAGTTCGGGCGGTTTGTCCCCTACAGTGTTTGGCAGCGTCTGGAGACATCTGTGGTTGTCACATGTCGGGGGCGAGGGGATGGTGGTCGCCCTGGTGGACCCACGGGTGTTGGGTCCCCTCTCACGGTGCTTGTTGGCGCAGAGCCATGCCAAAGAAGGACCGGTCC